AGATATCGATACTAACACTGTATGATTAAAACCTTCTATATAACATTTTGACATTTATTAGTAGTAGCGATGATTGCTATCATGTTGATAACTGTGAGAAACTATGCGGTCTAGTTTAAGTTTTTTCCAAGAAGCGAGTATAAAGCTGAGAATATAATTGAGAGTGAATATAAAAACTGCCAAGTTATTATAAAACATCGTTGTCGAAGAACCGTTGAATATGTTCGAAGGATACATGGGATGGTGACAAAGCGTATGAAAATGTATGTATTTACTTATATTTAATATTGTACGTTTTATAACTAAATTTTACACTTATTGCCAGCGACTGCTGCATGTGGCGATTTTACGACATTCAGAGTTTAATCCTAGCAGCAATGTACGAAGATTACGACAATGGGGAAACCGGCCCTTACTGAAAATAGACAGTCAACAAATCGAAGGCTGATTTACCACAGGGGAATAGTTTTGCAAGGGTGAAGAACACGGGGCAAATTATGGATGCCGTACTTGCATGGCAATTCTAAGTACCACATTGCTAAGCACGATTCAACCAGAAAACTGAAAAAAAGATTGAACAGTTGGAAAATTTGTCTACCTCAACTAGCACAAGAACGATGGTCCACAGAGCATGGCCTTATGCTAAAATCGACCCTTAGATACATTGACATGGGATTGTCACAAACAAACATCCCAAGACGCATGCCATTCTATGGCTAAAAGTTACTGGATATAACCCATAAATTTATTCAGTAATGGTGGACAAGAACAGTGGCTATACCATTGGAAACGATAGAAAACCCCACAAGATAGTCAGCATTGTTGAATCCTTTAATTCATCTACATAGTTTTTCACGTTCAGTGACGTGTTAAACATTTGGCAATGCTGGTTCTGTCTATATTACGACGTTTCTAGCACCCGCCCATTTAAAAAGTATACCTCGATCTCAAGGTAGGAATGACATAATGCGTCTGATTGACTCTTCGCTTAGCACAATGCTAACTAGCGATACCTCTTGACGTTGCATGATTTTCTTGTTGTTCCCATCATGTGGTTTTTAATCCGCCAATCAGGGATCGGCACAATCATTTCGCCGACAATCATTTCACCGACAATCATTTCACCGACAAATGTTCACCAACATTATTTCAAATTTATCCTTTTTAGGTAATTAATTGTCCGTGAAATAATTGTCGGTGAAATGATACGACCCAAGAATATTCTATCCATTGTACATAAGCGTCGTCGTCTTCATTATTTACATTATTCCACGATTCCATAATGAATGAATTCAAAGACTTGTTACCGGTCGTCTAATAAATCGGTCTCGATGCTTTACATCAATAGTTCGCAGGATTCATTCCAAACATAACATTCTCGCATGTTCGTTTTTATATTAGATAACACTTTTGTATACTTGCATCGTATGTGAACCCGAAGACATCCAGATAACTGTGGTAAGAAATCTGAATTCGTTAAAAAGAGCAGTGCAGCTTGCTTAATGTCAATGAAGGAAAATTAAATGTCTTAATATTCAAACATTAATGAGATAATGGCAATGCTGTTTGTGATGATATAACGCTATTGTAAAAAAATGTCACTGTTTCAAATCACAATTTCTGTGCAGCAAATAAGTTGTCGTCATGGCTTTTAAAAAAGCAATCTAGTCTTACAAAAATGCGGTGAGTTTAATAGCGGCCTTTTACCGCAACTGAAAATTAATTCTGGTGGATACAATGCATGCGACATGTTAAATTAACAAAGGACCGTGTCTCTCTTTAAATTGTCACTTTTGTATATTCATTGGCTAAGGATCCGCGAACTAGGTAACAAAATTTGAGAGTGTGGCATAATCTTTGAATAGCCAAATCTTTGATTCGTTCTGTCTCACCCATAAAATATTACTAGCAAATGCAATTTCTTGATATAAAGTCTGAAAATTGTTACCTGTTTAGGGGGTTTTATAGTTAGGAATAAAAGATTCTTCGTGTAAAGACTCATCAATGCCATGGCCCTCGCTGGGATTATTACTAATGGTATTGCGCATATATTAAAACTTCCTGGTTGTCACCAAGTGCTTTCCTTTCCACCTGCTTCCCTATAACGCCTGGCTTTACCGCATTACCTAACCAAATGAGGCAAAAGATCGACTTAGCTCACACAAATATAGAAATGGCTCGATTTCTGTGTAATACGTATTATTAGGGGATATCAACGAGGTAGATAATATAAAATTGGAAATCGGGGATTATGAAAGTTGGGGGATATGGATATATATGAATGGCATACAACCGAGGTATATTTATATGGAATTAGAATAGGGGAAATTCGGCCGGCATTGCAGCTGGGATGTAATTGGTGTTGGGATATAACTGAAGGGGATATAATTGAGGTATGACTGTAGATGCTCCGAATAAAAATCGAAACGGAAATTGAGATTGTTGATATCATTCACAGTTTGCCGATAAATGCTAGAAAACTATATAAATATCGACAAAGCTATTGACTTATGATACCACTTTAATGCAACAAAGAATAAACACTATCAACTATGTTGCCGGCTAAGAAGACAAAGAATTTAATCGGAGTTTATATATTAATCATGCACTTCTCAGAAAGATCTTGGAGTAAAACTGTCTGTTATTAGATATTTGACTAACTTGAGAGAACAACGCAGTTTAAATTTGGCATGCCGGACAACGCCAAGCTTAAATTACGCGTCCAATGAAATATAGCAAACCTTTTTTTAAATATTAACAATCTCTCGCTGTAACGAAGAAAAGCGCCTGCATTGTCTTCATTGTTATATGAGGGGTCACTGTGCATATGCGATTATTGGGACAGTTGATGCAAATCTCTATTCGGAAATTATCTGCAAAAAATTCTAAATCTGTACGAAACACAAAAGATCTGCATTAGGAAGAAAACCCATGTTTAAACTGATTGAGTTTCCTGTGTTCCGGAAAAGGTCCTTGTTATCAGACTTGTAATCGGCTAATACGTTATATTAGATATTAGGGCGTATAGCATAAAATAATCAGGGTGTGTATAACATGTCGGGTAATATCATGTATGACAGGTTAAGATTTGATGTACAAAAGGAATTCAAATTAAAGTTTATTGCTGGAAAACAGTGGAAGCTGATTGGCAGTGAGATGATAGATATTTTATTGTCTTGAACGTTATAATCACCTTAATAGTAAGGTTCGGCCTAAGATATTTTAACCGAGCTAATAAACTCTTCTCGATTTTCTTTACCAACGTAACAGGTAAAATAAAATGTTAGGATCAATTTAATTATGTGCATCAGATATACATAATATCAGGGTCAGAAAAGTAAAGATCTATTCATTTAACCTGTAATACAACTTTATGACGACGAAGTAATAATACGTTTGTTGAGAAATTACATGTGATAATATGTTTGGCATGTCTTCCCTGCAAACTAATAAACTCGGCTATTAACAAGTTGTTAAGTTTTTTGGTCTGGCTGGTGTACACTTTACGTGCTCTTTATTTTGATTGGCCGTTGCAAGAGTCTTTAACAAACACAATATCAACGTTGCATAACGTAACTGTATTTGTTTCCTCATCGACAATCTCACAGACGCAAAATATTAGTTCTTGGCGAATTATCTAAAATGATCGGCTGATGCAAGAAAGTCTCTACGAGGTATAAAAATAACATAGCCAAATTTGTGAAACTCTATCGACTTCCTAGTTGCTGCTTTCTTCTCGCTTCTTCCAATCGTAAAGCTTTTCGGCAATAATCTTACTTTTCCCTTGGTACTGGGCAATTAACATAAATTGGTGCGACGGTAACAATGAAATTAGATCCTTAACCGATATAGAAATGTTCGTGTATGACAATATGCGACTAGCCAAAACTGGTAGAGATATCCCAAACAGTCGATCCTCAATCAGAATTGTAAGAAAAGGGAACGCGCAAAGATGGAAACACATAAATACTGACAATGTTGATTGTGGCAACTAAATTCTTTTCAAATCGTGGCTTGTGCCAACATATTATGCGCGGTTTATCTTTTTGCGTGGAGCGAAGCTCCTTTTCATTCTTTTTCACAAACCCTTTCATCACAACCGTTCTCTTCTTTCTCATCATTTCGTCTGTGCAAGCACAGTCATATAACTACACGCTTACGTACAGTGAATCAATTGCAGGACTCACAATAGCTGATGCTACAGCTGATTTCGATGGAACAACGATAGTCTGTCTTACAGAACCTATAAATAAACAATGTTCTACAAACAATTTTTATCTAAGAGTCTTCCTCCCGAACAATACCGTACTTGCGTCAACTTTTAAACTTCCTTTTGAGAATTCCAATTGCTTTGACATTGAAATAACCGTGTTGACAACTGGGTGGTTATATTTGACTTACATGAGGTCACTCGGAAATTCTAGTTTTGAGCAATATGGAATTCCCGTCGCTTATAACGGGTCGTTGGGTGTGCCGACATTGTTGGCCAGTTTTAATGATACGCTTTCTGGTCGTATTTTTAAAAGTATGGTGCCTGATGCTGGCTTTCTGTATGCAAAAAAAATAGGTGCAAACGGTCCCGTGATCTGGAAACGATGTTCCACAGCGTAAGTTTGTCACTGATACATGTCATCATGCAATCCGTAGATCATAAATTTACATAAATACATTTTTCAGCGTCGAAGATGGAATTGTCGATTGCTCTAATAATGGGACATTTGCTCTTAGTAATGGTGCCCAAATACAAGATTTTAAAATATTTAGCACAGTCGATGGTAGCTTTAGTTTTGTATTCGCTACACAGACTCTGAATGAGTATGGTGCAAACATCAATAACAAGGAACTAGTGATAATGTTTCTCGATCCAGACTCTAATCAAGTTACCAAACCAACTACTATATACACGAGCCCACCAGGTGTAGACCAAATAACCATTGGTGACTGTGGTTTGTCGTTTGGCGGATACGGCTACACTTGTCTATTGTTGATTTCGACGGGTCGGAATCAGATACTGCATCAAGTGGATTTTCATTCAACTCGGCCTGGAGTTAGCGACGTCGACTTGAAGACTGCTTCCAAGGATATTGTTGGTCTTGACAGAATAAAATTTTTGTTTGACGGAGGATACTTGTTACTTTATAATTTTGCAAAAGATGGAGAGACTTTTATCAAAAGAGCAAGAATGATTGACCCAGACGGTCAATCAGTACAAACGATACCATTCGCTCAGCCGGTAACAAAGCTACATGTCTATCCAAGAAGCAATACCGTCTGGTATTGGGAGAGTAACTCGACACAATCGTGGTCTATTATATCTCACGATTTACCCAAATATACGAAATATGGTATGTACTGAATTCTGCATGATAACGACAAAATTGGTACCAACTAAAAATTGACAAGAGATAGAATTAAAATTGTTCGGGAGTTAGATACAATCGAGTTAATAACTTTTGTTTTCTACCCCCACCCCCTCCATGCTCAGATGCCAACTACCAAAGCCCAAATGTAATAACAACAACGCCTGTAATTGACAGTGAAATTGCGATTCGCAGCACCACTCTAGACATTACGTACAACATACAGGTCAAACCGGCCACGGGAAACGTTACGATATACGCGACTGACGGTGTAAAGAAATACTTTCGTCAGTCGTATTCGCCAATATTTTCCCAATACTGTCAATCAGGCGAGCGCAATCAAACGCTGACCTTGGATGTATTGACCAGCACTTTCAATCAACCAAACATGACCTATTACGTGGTATTGGACAATGGGTTTGTAGAATCAATGCAAGATGGCGAACCGATTCTTGGAATTTCTGACGGGAAATGGAAATTCCGAACAGGTAAAACATGAACGTTTGATATATCAGCCTTTGTGCCATAAAGATTAATTCTTATAATCTTTTTTTTTTAATCATTTTCTAGCTCCGATACCGCCCAACGATGTTTACGTGCCCTTTGGTATAGCAACCGTCTGCCTAAACTCTGTAGGCACTTTTCGCTTTCTGCAGTTTTCCAAATCCGAACGATCGGCATTTCTTTCTTCACTCAGCAACACCCTAGCATCTATTGTTCCGATATCTTCATCACGGTTATCGATTTTCGAGAAATTCCGAGTGCAATCTGTCAGCGGTCAGAAACAAGTGTTGCTGTCGATTCGAGTCGGTGCTGCCACGAGTGATATGGATATGGGCGCGAATTCGGTGATTGATTACTTGAACGTCTTGATCAAGAATAAGGGCATTACGGCAGTTTCTCGGTTCCCGGAAACCATGCTCTTGGACGAAGATTTCGGTGCTCGTATTGAACGTGAGTGGTTTTGAGAAGGAAATACCCAATTGGGGTGATGGTTAGATAATGTAGTTTTTGTGATACTGTTGCGCCATCAGTAAATTAATATTGATACGTTTCTTTTTGCAGCAAACATTTGGAACGAATATAAACGGAATATAATAATTGCGGCAGCTGCGATGCTACTGATCGGACTATTTTATCTTTTGGCCCGTCGTCTTAACCCAGAGGTGAGCACACATCATGTGTATCAGAAGCCTGTATTACCATGCCTTTTACTCATTTTCGTTAATTTCGTTTAGGCCAATAATGCGGCTATTTTTACTCTTGTGCTGGCAATGTATGATGTTGTGATTGACGTTGTATTCATTGTACGAAATGGTCAAGATGTGCGATCATTATATATACCAAGGTATGAAATATTGAAAGTTGGTTTTTCTAATATCAGTGTCGCTTGCCCAAAGTTCTGACGTTTCTCTTATACTTTCTAGTATTCTTGTTTTCGTGTTTGCAATACTTTTTAACACAACCATCGCCGTCTATATCATGATCACTGAGAATATGCGGTCTTATAAATTTCATGTCTGGACCCAATCGTGCGCAAAGAGTGCTGCCGTCTTTACCGTTCTGGCCGCGTCAAATATTGAGGTTTTGACCGTGACGTACAGTGGCTTGGTCAAATCAGAATATTTTTCTGCGCCCTTTAGTGAGCAAAGCATAAAGATAATTTTTTGGGCGAGCACTGCAAGTTTTTTCTTGGAAGATGTGATGCAGTTTATTATTCAGGTAAATAGATTATTACCAGTAACTTGCAGCAAATGAGAAAATTAATGTCACGTTTTTACTCATATTAATGTGTCTGTAATCTAAATAATGTAACAGGTTATTTACCATAACAAAAGTATCACCTACGATATTGTTCCACTCTTAACTCTTCTCTCAGCGTCGGTTATGCTCACGGTTAACTTAATTACTCGGATATACTACGGAATCACTCTGATACGTGCTTGCAAGAATGATGTTATGCCGTCAGATGGACACGCTTAATATTTATAGAATAGTACAAATAGAACTAGAAGACAAACTTAGTAGATTAATCATTATATATTGGTAATAATATTTAGAGTATTGTGATGAGCGGTTTACGAACCTTTATTAATGTCATATGTCGTAGATAACTTAATATGCAAGTGAAATGAAGGATGTCACGTTTTACGGATGGTTAAAGAGATAAGCTTTTGCAATGCTAATGGTGTTCTTGATGCCTGTTGGTCCACATTCTTTGAACTTAAACTTTCATAGTAATATTGCTAGCATATAATTATGATCGGATTCCTTTTTCACTTCAGCAAAACATGATACAAAGTACACCAATTTCCTTATGAAACGTGGTACTGTGCATGCAAAAGTACAAGTCGATGGTTCTTTATTGCTCATCAATGGATTACCCCAAATGAAACAGCGGCTGACGCGGCTGACTCATTTACTGTTCTTTGTTATTGATCTCGAGCACGAGTCATAGCCCTACTCGTATCTTTTGTTGTAATCCAACAACCGCCGGTCTTGGATGGCGTTAGAGAAACGGTTTGAATTCTGGGCAATAATATTTAGTTAATAGAAAAATAGGCCCTTATCTCTAAACTTGAGATATAATATATTGAAACACGTGACTTTCTATTTATTCAGTGCGCGCGCGCGGGTGTCACGTCAATTAATTGTTTATGTCAAACCAAATTTCCTCTATTCCTTCGATAAAGCTCTATCAAAATATACTTGATATAAAGGATATCATCCAAATTAATGAGTCCGAAAAAAAGCGAATATCCAACAATACCAACAGGAGAAATTCGCTATGCTCACGTACCACTGCTTCATCCTTCACCCTTCTGCCAATACTATCAGGTCTCAGAAGCAAATCACTTTATCAGGCGTACAGAAAAAGGAATGGAACATCATATCCCCAGCTTGACAATTAGCGAAAAACAAGAAATTTAAGTATCCCTCTGGTGGATACAATCTATATTCCCGTCTCCTACAGCAATACATACCATTGCTCGATTCTCGGCCCAAAGGCCATCTTTAATCAAAATAATGGCCGACAACAATCAGTGCATGTAGGAGCTTCTCGAGGCCGAAACCCGTCATCATCAGGTACAGACTACCAGCAAAAAAAAATTGCCTGGACGAGACGAGACGAAAAATTGCCTGGGTGAGTGGTATGGAACTTTCGCGGGATGACTTAATCTCACCGCGGATATTATGTCTTGCTGAATCTCAATGAAGATAGGGAAATGGAGTTAAAGCAGTGATGGACTGTAGGACAATTTAAAAGACTTTATCTTTTACAACTACCGCCGTACGAAGCTATTGCAGCGAAAAAACAACACCAACAAAAACAACGACGACAACAACTACCACCGTACGAAGCCATTGCCGCGAAAAAACAACAACGACAAAAACGACTACCACCGTACGAAGCCATTGCCGCGAAAAAACAACAACGACAAAAACAACGACAAAAACAACAACGACAACAACTACCACCGTACGAAGCCATTGCCGCGAAAAAACAACACCATCAACAGCAACAGCGAAACCCATTATGTGCCGTCGCATCCATAAGGAGTTGAAGTCTTGTTGTGGAGCGAAAGTTGCTAGTCGCGTCAGAGTTCGCAATAACTTACAAACCATATACTCGATTGAAAACTACTTAAAAGCGGCAGAGTACTACATGATTTGTTATGATATCCGGAAAAACTCCATTTAGCGGATCTTCGCTTTAACAGTCGATCCTCAATCAGAATTGTAAGAAAAGGGAACGCGCAAAGATGGAAACACATAAATACTGACAATGTTGA